GCCAAACAAAGCGCTAAAAAACCATATCAAGATTCTATTCCTAACGGCTACCAGTAAGATATCCAAACCATGGAAGACATAACTTCCCATCTCGGGTTTTCAACAAAATAATCGAAAAATGTTAGTTTTTGCAGTATTTTGATAGAAAAATCTCTTTTTTAATGTAGCAGAAAAAAGCAATTCTTTGAAAACGTTTGACTAAAACCTTTAGAAAAGTAGCTAGAAAAGTCTTTCTATATATGGTGCGATGCGTCTTCATCTTCTCTTTCCAACGGTGAAAACCACAGGTATCTATCTTGTTCTTATGTAAAGTTATTCGAAAAGTGCCCAGGGCCACTTATCTCTGAAATAGACATTAGTAGATCAATATGTACCAACATATTGATCGGTGCTTTTTATTTCCAAATAAATATCAGAGACCGTTAAGTTTCTTTCAATTATTGAATGTTTTAAAGAAAAGATATGAAAGTAAGTAACTCGCAGGTTTCCTATGAAAAACTTTCTACTGTTGACAATAAAAGCAATTTATAAATTTGACACAAGCAAATAATTCTTAAGATTTTTCAAGACACGAAACGGCTAAAAAAAATAGGGTTTAATACGTCTAAACTGTAAATCATAACACTAAAAATTCATGATTGAATAAAAAAAAAAGTTCTATATTAATAATATAACATTAAAAAATGGCACATTATAATATTCGAATATGGATTATTGTTTATTTCAATTGATAAAATTAATTTGTTTTTTTCTAATTTCTAACTTACAACTGTTGTTTAAAGATGGAGGTGAAATAATGAAACATTTGTTTTCGATGACTTAAAATATTTTATAGGAATATTTAACATTTTAAGTATGTTCTCAAAAACATTCGTTTATTATAAAAAATTGAAAACATGACAAAATAAATAATTTTTTCTTTCAAAGAATAAAATTTTTCTAATTCAAAATGAAACATTTTCATTTTGTTAGGTTATCTGAAATGACGTTAAAATGTTACAATGGTTTTCAAATTTTTAGTGTAAAATAAGAGATAGTTGATCTTTGAATTATTTCTTAAACTCTTTGAGAAAAATTTAAGGCGTTACCATATTTTCTTATAACGTAATACAAAAATAATTTGTCAGTGCAACCTGCTCTATGAATGACAAACGTTTGCAAATCATAAGCATGGATTATCATAAACTTTGTCATAATAGTGAAAATAATTCACTTTAACCCTGAAATGCTCATCTAGGATTCGAAGAGATCTAAACTACTTTTATTTTAATGTTATATGCATATATTATCATATTAAATCAAGTCTTTCTAGACATGCTCTAGTGAAGATTAGTAAGATATGCTGCTGATGGCAGCCGTTCATTAGCTTTGATCGATGACGCAAAAACTATGTCGAAAAGCAAACGAACAGTTGTTGAACACATGGGATTCGTGCGGACGTCAGAAAAATTCTTTCTAATACTTTTGCTATTTTAGACAAGATCTTGTTCTTTCAACTATACTTTAAGGACATTCAGTAGAATACGCCAATAACAGCCATCAATCTCACTGATGTTGTAAAGAAGAGCAGCAATAGTTTAAAAATGAAAAGTTTTCAAACTATGTTATATTTTATCACAAATTTCAGTTCTAATAAAGAAAGAAATCATGCTTAAATGAAAGAAGCATTGGAGTTAAATTTTCACCTTGTTAACATGGAATTTTTAGTGGAGTGCTATGTGCGTAGAAAAGTTTCGTTTCTAAGAGATTGCCTTTTTACAAAGCAATCGTCCAGTGGCGTTGTCAGAAAAAAGTCGTACTCAGGGTGAAGGAGGTCTCAGTCCTCTGGCCACGTCACTACAAGCTGTTGGAAATCGGTGGAGACCCAATCCTTGAAACTTTGCCGAGAACAGTCGTAAGAAACTTTTATCTGAGACATTGTGTGTTGAAATTAGCAATTTATATTATTAAGTGTTTCCTGTACGTATTTTTCTATACATAGAATATAATTCAAATTATATTATCATATTGTAGAAAACATTAAAAAAGTTAAGAGATTCACATTAAAATGAACAATGGAAGAATTAAATGAAGAGAATGGAAATGCACAGAAAACTTCTGATTTGATTAAGATTAAAAGATATTTTCATTTTTTCGACTAGATTACTGTTATTTCTTCGCTATTTATAATACAAGAAAGATTTTTCATTCAGAAGCTTTTTACACGTTTAAAGAAACTTCATTTTATCTCCTTTTTGTTGCAGAAGAAAAATATTTTCATATGAATTGAAAAATCCTTTCTCAGCACTTTTGGCTCCAAAAGCATTCACATTGGTGACGATTGTGATATAAATCACGTTTCTCACCTCACCCCAATAAATTGAAATTTACTTAAAATAAACAAAGCGTTGAATATCGCTAATGCCCATACAAATAGAATTTTTTTCAACGCGCCAATTTTTATGACTTGACGATAAATTTCATTAATCTCTTATCATCTCAATGGAAAAAACGAAACTGTCATTAGATGCCAACTATGAAACTTTTTAAAAACATTTGTCCGCGAAACCGATCATGTTCACGACGATTATCAAACAAACGAAGCCCTTCATACTTGAAGACTTCTTAGGCTGTCTTTCAAAGTAAACATCAGAGAATTTTTCAACCAACTATGATTTTTTTTCTTGACACGATATTAAAAGAAAATATAATTTACTTCGGTATTTTTATTAAAAAAATTTGCAAATTTCCAGAATTTATTTGCTTTTCTGCTTTTTCGACTAATAGCAATAAGAGCTTCCCGTTATTGAGGTTATCACACTACGGACATCCTTTAATCGACTCACTACTGATGAACATTCTGCTAATACTTCTAGAACAGACTTAAGTACCATTTAAATCAGAATTTGACCTTTTGTAGAACGTGGAGAAGGTCGGAGCGAAACATTCTATGTAAACTAAATTGCTCTCGTCCATCGTTGGTTATGCCATTAGTAATTAAACTGACAATTCTTTTGTCTATGTATTTTTAAAGAAATAAGGCCTTCTCTGATTTTACATTAATCATTGCGTTCTGGTTGTTTTTAGTAATTAGTGCAAAAAAATCAAAAAAGTCGCCATGCAATATCTTCTTATATTTGATCAGAAGGCCGATAAATACACAACACTTCATTCTTCAAATGATGAGTATTCTGATTAATAAAAATCAAAAATAAGTATCTTTGTAGATGAGGAATTTGGCAAATAGTGCCTCATCTAGTTCCCATGTAGATACACCACTGCAACCGTCATTAAACTAAAAAAAAAGTTTCTTAGAATACCTGCGAATATCTCGCATGTAAGACATACTCTCACATATCTATTTGTTCTTTTTTCGGGTGATGGTCTCTTTCAGAACTATTATAGTTCGATTATATAAAATAGTAACAATATAATACGTATTTTTTTCTCATTAGACTAAACTTCGTGTGTAGTCCAAGTGATCAACAGGTGCTAGTCTGCAAGATGGATGCGTCACACTTAACATCATTCGCACCTGAAAAAGCTTGTTCGGATTGCCATACCAGTACTAATACGTCTACGATACATAGTATGGAAGCAGGTAAAATATAATATTACTCTTGTGTTATTCATCGAACGAGCAATCATCCATATTAGTCTTCTATACATATTCATTTCATCGTTCATTAACTTAACATATACGCACTTCATCCTTTCTCTTGAAGAATATTAACAAATATTACTGCGTTTTGTCTAAACTAGCAATTCATTTAGTTCATACTTTTCTAATGTTGATCCTTTTCTCGCTCTGCCTCTGCTAGATATAAAAACAAACAACGATCGTCCTATTGATTAACATTCTCAATAAGATTCTTTCACTACATCAAAAAAAAGCATAAACTTATAACATTTATACTAATTAGCATCTATCGAGTTCCAAAGTGATCAAGGAACTTATATTAATTAGACACCTTTTCTCGTTTGTAGAAAGTACACCCGATCATTTCCAACTTCAGTCAGCCATCCACTGACTCCACGTACCCGTATACTAGAACTTATGAAGGATGGAGATGAAAGCCGCAAAAATCTCGATTTAATACATATAGGCGACCAGTAGGAAATCGATCATCTGATTGCGAAACTTACTTATGGGAAAGAATGCCAATGATAACCAAAGCATTTGAGCGTATATTTTATCCAACTTCTGTCATGATCGGAATCATGAATTTATCGTTGTTCGCGTTAACGAAAGATGACTCACTTGTTAGGATTACGAGGATGCTTGTTTATAACTGCTTCTTCAAAAATAAAGTAGCCAATGGGTTCAATCAATTTCAGCAAATTTTACGGCTCCTTTACGTATTTCACTTGAACGTGTTTTGTAAAATGTTACAAATATGAAATTTCATTTAGTGTCTTCAATTATCAGAATTCCTTAAATGTCTGAATTTCCTGGAAGTCTCAGAATCCTCGGAATTTCATTAGTTTCTATGGTTCCAAAATTTCTAAGAGTTCAATTGTAATGCATTCATCAATATTTATAATTTCTTATTTGTTTCAGAATTCAAATTTCCTGAAGAGCTCAAAATTAACGGAATTCCGAGACACGTCTCATTTAAAACAAAGAAATGTGTTCAAAGTATTTATTTTGGTAACACATCATTTTCAAGGTTTTGAAAATCATTAAAACTAAGTCCTAGATTTTATTCGAAATATACATTTCAAAGGATATACTTCGCTGTATCTATAAGTAAAGAACTTCGATTTTTAGCATTTTATATTCGAACATAACAGACTGTAAGATTTGTCCAGATAATTTAAGTCATAGTTTATATTCTTACTGAGAAATAGTTAATTAATCTATTATTTATTAATTACGATATCATATTGAACTTCAGCATATTTCTATGAAGAAACGGTAATGTTGTCCATTACTGTAATCTTAATGCACCTTATAAAATGGGAATAGAAATGTATAGAAAAATATTTTCGTATTTTAAAGGCTATTATAAAAGACTTTTCTACTTACGCGAAAATCGTTGTCTTAATTGCAAATGGATCAAATGTTTGTTCTTCTTACAATCAAATTCAACACTTTTAACACGGAAGCAAACACCTGGTGTAACTAGTTCTTCTTCTTCTGCAGTATAGTTAGACAATGGACTTAGATCGGCAATAAAAGCAATTAATACTTCCATGATGAATAAGACGTTTCCACTAAAAAACTCAGCTACTACAGGGTTTCGGCTACATGATGTATATGCTTGAAATGATCCATAAGCCTTATCATCTTCGGCCATTTTTGCATACGCAGTGATCTGTTCTTCAGTTAGAGTGGCTCCTCGATAAAGTGTCTTTTTGGTTGTCAATTTTGTATTAAATGGATCATCCCATAGTAATAAACAGAAAGGACCCAATGTACGAACTTTACTTCGCCATACTTTTTCCTGTTCTTTGTGTCCTACCAATCTCATCGCTGCATTTAACGTTTTGTACAAGAAATTTTCCAAGGTATAAAGATAAGCACAGCATTTCCAAACTTCTTCGATCCCTGCGTTCTTCTTTTCTCGAAGCATTTTAGCTAGTTTTTCAGCTTCGCATTTTTTTCCAATACTTTGACCTTCTTCAATAATACCACGTACAGCCTTTTCGACAAGTATTGGAATCATGCTTGGTTTTTTCGAAGGTAAATCGTCTGGCTCGAGCTTCAAGTCTCGTCTGACTTCTATTACAAATGGAGATATCCAACCATATTCACCACCAAATGAACGTCCGTAACTAACAGGAAGATCCATAAAACGTGCTTCTCGTAGGTGTTTATCTTCTCTTTTACGTACC